AGTGTAAAGTAGCTTCATATCGACACCTGTGATACAAATAAGCTTGAGTGGGTCAGGTTGGGAAACCTGGTGAGTACATAGGGTTTTCAACCCACAATAATATAATTATTATGTTAAACATCAAACAATCAACCCAATTACCATCCCCATTATCTTCTTTACTCTTAAGGATCTACCCTAAGATTCAACTATTCATCGTTCATTCATTCCTAAGGATCATCCTAAGGAATCGACACGAAATCCATCGTTGCCAGGGTTTACTCAACAAGCACTAAGTCACATAGTTGCCAGGGTTTAGGCACTAAGTCTCATAGTCGCCAGGGTTTATACAACAGGGTACATCTGGTGGACACGCAGTTCAAAACATCTGATGAACACGTAGTTCAAAACCTCTGGTGAACACGTAGTTCAAAACGTACGGTGAACACTTACTTCAAAACATATGGTGAACACTTAGTTCAAAAATACCTAGTGAATACGTAGTTCAAAAACACCTACAAGTTACGAGCCTGCTAGTGTTCCACTGGACTGTCTAGAATAGTCCGTGGTCGTCATCTATACTCCGCTAGATGGCTAGGTCATCTTAAACATTCAGGCCTCTCATCACTTTATCACACATCAACTATTTCATCTACCCATGTTTTACCCAACATTTACGTAGATATAAAATACATATACAGTTTAAATCATTTAAAACATGTATAAATCGTGCATCCCTCATAGATATCAAGAACACAGATAATATGCACACATAACACGTAATTTATATTAAATACTTCATATCTATGTGTAAGATGAAAGTAACTATGCACTCACTTGATAAGGTGGTGACTCGGTACTCGGACAGCGCTTCGTTTACTTTAAAATAATTTCCTTCGACGAAACCTAGTACTATTACCACTAGATTTTAGTCTAATATTTACCGTGACTAATTATTATTATTATTATTATTATTATTATTATTATTATTATATAAGCGATTAAATAATACTTTCCAACCACTATGTACAGACAGGGGTCAGACATAAAACACCGGAGGGCAGGACCATTTTGGCATATAGCACTTCTGAAATCCAACAACCCTATGCGGCCCTTTAAACCAGATTCCCCGTACCGCGAGTAGTTAAAAAGATATTATAACGACACTTATATAAGTCTAATATAGCTCAAATATTTATTATAAGTTCATAATAACAATACTAATTTTAAATATAAGCTATATTAAAATAGGTAAGCGTAACTTACTTACAAGGGGGTTTTAGCTAGGAGTCGGGCTCTGCAGGGGCAGAACTTCGTCGCTGAATCTTTCTAAGAAAGATTCGTGCAGCGCTTCAGCGCTCACCTTACTATACTAAAACTAAGAGAAGTCGAATCACGATGGACCGAAATGCTCGGGGGATAAGAAGAGAAAGACTCTTGAATCAAGAGAATGATGCAAGAAATATGAGAGCCCAAGCCTCTTATTTATAGTAATTGAATTTACAAAAACTACCCTCCATAATTACTTAATGACCTTATAGTTATATAAACGACTAAACACCCCTGCATAATACTATTTTAAATAGATTTAACGATATTTGTACTAAACTAATGTCGAAAGTACTCAACACTAGTCTTATAATAACCGCATCGTTGATACCTTTCTAATGATATATACATTTGTATATATATGTGTACGTATATACGATTTATACTTTATTTTAATACGTAAATATGCTATTATAATTTGTAACTCGTTCATACGAACTCCATTTTTGACGTTCTTTATATCCACGCGTTGGTATTTACGAGTACTACAACTTTCATTTAGACGCCTTCAGCTAATTCTCATTCTATCTCAGATTTACAAAACTGTATCGAATTTATCGCGCTCGAAGAGTAGGGACCAAGTTTCGTCCATATCTTTAACATACGTGCTCTACTCTCGACATTCTTTATATCCACGCGTAGGTAAAAACAAGATCTAAAGCTTTCATTTAGACTCCGTCGGGTAATTCTCGACCGATCTTAAATTTAACAGTAGGAGGAGATTATACTGTTAAATGTCCGCGTAAAATTCACAACTTCTACATACGGACTCCGTTTTCGTCTGTCTTTTTACCGTTGAGTTCCTATTAATGAAATCTTCAACTCTCATTTAGTTCGCGTAGGCCAAAAACCGCTCGAACTAAAATTCGAGTTTCGGGTCGTGCACTGCTATGCCAAATTTTATAAAATTCATAACTTCCTCATACGAAGTCAGAATTGGGCGTTCTTTTTTTGTATGTTCTCGGTTTAACGTATACTACAATTTTTGTTTAGATCACTAAGGATAAAAAGTCTTCTACCATAAATTCACTATTTACATCTCCCGGTGCCGTGCCGGTTTTGCCGTAAAACTTCGACGAGCCATAACTTCTTCGTTATAACTCGGATTTCGACGTTCTTTATATGTACGGAACCCTTGTAACATATAATACAACTTGGTTAAGATTAATCCTTATAAATAATCTTCCATCAAAAACTCATTTTTGATGTTCATCATCTCTAAATTGACTAGCCCGGATCTGTGGGCGTTACAAGTTGTTGAATCTCAAGCAAACTCGGCATGTTGCAAGCCAACACAACCGTGTTAACCCTTGGACACACCGTGTTCTTCCCTCATCCCGATAATCGGGAAATCCCTAGCCAACACGTTGTGTTTGGTTAACACGGGCTGTTGACTTTGACTTTGACCAGAAGTTTGATCAGGGTTGACGATGGGTTATGTTGGGCCATGTTTGGGCCTTTTGGATTGTATGTTTGGGCATTAGGGTAAGGCCCATGTAAGGGGTTTGGGACCAATTTAGAAAATTGGGCCAAGTAAGGGCCTTGAGTGATTATTTGGTTTTGGGCCTTTTAGATTTTGAGTTTGTGCTTTAGTCTTGGGCCAAACTAGGTGACAGGTAAAATGGTATTTTTACCCCAAGAATGGACTGTTGGACTTATGGTTATGGATTGGGACCCAAATGTTGATCGGGTGTTGTTTTGATATTGATAGTTCGGGGATCTGTCAGCCAGCGGCCAAGGAGTTTCTGTGTGATTCGGTAGTGCGAGGTAAGTTTCCTCACTGGGTTCAGCGGGTCTAAGGCACCAACGCCGACCCTTAATTGGCTATGTTATTATACTCGTTGTCTGTGTGATACTTGTATGTTGTTTGTCTATGTATGTTTATTGGGCGGGGCCTGTTATTCGAGTGTGGGCGGGGCCCGTATCTCATTATTATTCGAGTATGAGCGGGGCCCATTATTCGAGTGTGGGTGGGGCCCGTATCTCATTGGTCGGGGCCCGTTATCCGAGTGTGGGTGGGGCTCGTATCTCATTTGGGCGGGGCCCATTATATGATATGTATGGTATGCGGTATCTTGGGGAGCTCACTAAGCTTTGTGCTTACGATTTTCAATTATGTTTCAGGTACTTTGGTTTTCAAATGGAAGAGCTCAGGATGATTGTAGAGCACACATCACACGTTTCCGCGTTCTGTGATTTACTCTGATTTAACGATGTTTTGATAAATCTTGATTACCTGGGTTGTATGGAATTGTTATGTATTAACAATTTATTAATCTAAAGCAAAAATTTTATCTCATCATTTTTGGGACGTTACAGATCCTATATACTTGAAGCTCTGATTGAGGATAATAACTTGACCCTAAACATACATCTACTCCTTTAGCATTAGACTCCCCACTAAAATCACCCTAAAGATACTCCCTTTTAAAAGTATTGATCTCCCACCCTTTATATGCTAATATCATACTTTGTACGTCTAGCCATACATTCAACATAACTCGACAACCAACACTATTTTATCGTTAAAAAAACAAATACTAATGCACCTCCCATTGGATATTATGTACATGTCGTCTAAATCAAGGATATGATATAAGGGCTGAGAGTTGAGCCTGATGAAGCCCGATTTTAACATAAAAATACGGGAATGAAAAAGGTTACAAACAATTGCAAGGGACATGATCTATAATTTTTAGGATACAACATGGACCATTTATGTAATTTACTGAAATATAAGTGAAGGATCCCCTCCTAATCAATTAATCTTCCAAACATAATCGTTGTAGATATCGTGATTGTGTTGCCACACCACTATAAACTGGATAAATAGAATGCATGACTCTAACATAGTGGCAATATTGCCACAACGTGATCAAAATACCGACAAACATAGGCGCACATTCGAAATGGCTCACTAATCCTACTTAGGCTATAAGGAGTGGGAGGTGTTAAATGAGGTGCTAAGGATGCTAGACCACTCCCTACCTTGTGCTAAGGAGGGTGCTAAGAAGGAGTTGTTATGGGTGTAGCTAGAGGAGAAAGTAGAGAAAAAGTATAAAGGAGTGTTGTGATTGGTTGATTTGTATTTCTTCATATATTTTAATGTTTTCCCCAAAATTAAACCTATTAAATTGTTATGCTTCCACTCCCTACCTTTTTTTTGTGCTAGACATGTTAAGCTTATATTGACATCAAAAAAACTAAAAAGATCATATGTGACAATGTGCTAAGAGCGTTACCACTCTCTCTAACATTAATGCTTCCCACTTAACGCGACAACATAGAATACTTCCATCACCACAAAGAAACCGTGCAACCTCATTTCAAATGTAGGTGGATAAGAGGATGATAATACGTTATAAGAAGTTAACAAAAAATATCAATATCCAACCATAACAAATATAAAAAGTTTGAGGATTATTTAAAAAAAAACTAAATAGTCTAAAACCGAATTCTTACTTGGATAATATCTGATTAAATACAATTTGAAACAAAAATCATTAGAAATTTTACAATACTGAAAGACCTTAAACTGACGATGGACGATGAGTAAAAGTACAAGGGCCTAATGGTAAATTGTTATCCACAAAAGAAATAGCCTCCGGAAGCTTTCGCCCGCTCATTTTCTCTTTCTTCATCATCTCTGTCACACATTCACAAATTCACACTGAAACACACACTCACTCGAAATGATCGTCTCCAAGCAGGCTCTGTACGCTAGCCACCACCATCTTTCAACACATATCCGCGGCGGCGGTGGTTCAAGTTCCATCAAGCTACGGCACCTTTCATCCGGGCAAAACCCGCCGGAAAGTCTGTTGGGGCAGCCATATTGGTTGGTCAAAAACATCAACAACGACTGCACATTCCTTCAAATTCTTAAATGCGAATCTAAATTCCTTAGGTGGTCGTAATTCTACCAGATCGGTTTGCAAGAATGCTATGAATGGGACTATTAATGGTGGGATAAATGCTGAGGAAGTGGTGTTGTATGAAGAAGGAGGAAGAATAAGAAAAGTTAAATGTGAAGTAGAAGTAATATCGTGGAGGGAACGTCGTGTTAAATCAGAGGTTCAGGTAGATGCTGATGTTGATTCGGTGTGGAATGCTCTTACGGATTATGAAAGGCTTGCTGATTTCATCCCCAATCTAATATTTAGGTATCGTATTGCTTTTTTCGTTGCTGGCATTAAAATTTGAAATTATCTGTGTAAGTTTCATTCTTCAAAATTCATCAGCTCGATGACAATGATTCCTGTAAACTTCTATTGAAATTCTTGGTGTTCGTTTTGCATTTATATCCTGATAATTTGTAGTATCATGTTGCTACTGTTTAATAAGTACATGATTTTGTTTCTGTTAGCGCAAGGATTCCATGTATGCATCCAGGAAGGATATGGTTGGAGCAGAGAGGGTTGCAGAGGGCACTGTATTGGCATATTGAAGCTCGTGTAGTTTTAGATCTCCAAGAATTTCCTAACTCAGTAAGTATCTATTTATCTTCTTATTATTTAATGATATTTATAGTTTTAGATTCAGTTTTTAATTCTAAAAATTTGTCATAGTTCAGGCAAATGGTCATGAACTCCACTTCTCTATGGTTGATGGAGATTTCAAGAAATTCGAAGGCAAATGGTGTATAAAACCTGGGAAAAGGTAGAAACATGTCTTCAATAATATGGAGTTTTCTTTTTCTTTTACTTTTACTTCTACTTCTACTTCTACAATCTACAACATTATTTACTTAAAAAGATATAATCAAGAGCAATTCTATCTTCTACAGGTCTTCAAATGCAATCCTATCTTATGAAGTTAATGTAATCCCAAACTTCAATCTTCCAGCAATATTCATGGAGAGAATTATTCGATCTGATCTCCCTGTGAATCTTCAAGCTTTAGCACGAAGATCAGAGAGAAATTTTGAAGGAAACGAGAATATAACTACAAAATTTCATTCGGGTTCTAGTTCTAGTTCTACCACCATAGATATTGATGGCACAATTGACAAAAATACCCCTACTGTAGATGTGAAGGAAAATGATCCAAGTTCTAGTTTTAGTCCCTTGTCAAAACCTAATGCTGAAGTAAACAATAATTGGGGAGTGTTTGGTAAAACTTGTGATATTAATAGCCCTTGCAAAGTTGATGAAATTCATCTTCGAAGATTCGATGGCCTTTTGGTAATTTACTTTCTATAAACTATTCTTATTTCTTAAAAGGTGAGATGTGGACTTGCTCTTGATCTCGTGTTTGTGTAAAAGACAAGAATGCCCCATCTTATCCTCAACATCAAAAATAACCCTAGAAAGCTTGTTTAACATCATCTTTGTATTTGAAGGAAGATGGAGGTGTTCATCGGTGTGTTGTTGCAAGCATAACTGTGAAAGCTCCTGTTCGTGAAGTGTGGAATGTTTTGACTTCTTATGAGACTCTTCCTGAGTAAGTAACATAATCTCACACGTTGTGCTGTGTTTGGTGTGTATTGGACCGAGAGTGAGACTGATGCCAATGGGACAAAAAGTTTCAAATTTTTTTGTTCCACCCAAAAAGGTGGTACATGGACTTGCTCTCGATCTCTTGTATGTGTAAAAGACGTAAATATCCTTCTCATGAGATTGGAAGATGTATATGCTTTGTGTTTGGTGTGTATTGGACTGAGACCGATGTCAATGAAACAAAGTTTCAGTTTTTTTGTTCTACCTAAAAAGGTGGGACATGGACTTACTCTTGATCTCTTGTATGTGTAAAAGACGTAAATACCCTTCTCATCCTCATTATTTGGAAAATGTTTGCTTTGTGTTTGGTATGTATTGGACTTAGACCGATGTCAATGAGACAAAAAGTTTCAGTTTTTTTTGTTCTACCTAAAAAGGTGGGACATGGACCTGCTCTCGATCTTTTGTATGTGTAAAAGACGTAAATACCCTTCTCATATCGTTCTAGAAGATGTATGGTAGACTAGCTTTTATAGAAATACGTGCACCAAAAGTTGTTATATGGTTGTCATTTCTCAAAATGCTATGTTTGTGGGAAAAATTGATTTGCAGGATAGTTCCAAATTTAGCTATTAGCAAGATTTTAGCACGAGAGAACAACAAAGTTCGGATTCTTCAGGTAATTTTTAATTTTCCATTCATCTGACATGGCAAAACATGTTGTACTGTGTTTGACATGCATTGGACTGGAACTAAGACCGGAGACTAATGTTAATGGTACAAAAAAAACAAGTAGGGATAGGTACTCGCTTTCAATCTTACTATTTGTGTAAAAGACATAAACGCCCTTCTTGTCTGTTGTTTCTTTATCTAGGAAGGATGCAAGGGGTTGCTTTACATGGTGCTTCACGCACGTGTTGTCCTCGATTTATGTGAACATTTGGAGCAAGAGATAACATTTGAGCAAGTTGAAGGTGATTTTGATTCTTTCAAAGGAAGGTGGTTATTAGAGCAACTTGGGAATCACCACACACTATTGAAATACAGTGTGGAGTCAAAGATGCATCAAGGATCCCTGCTTTCAGAGGCCATTATGGAAGAGGTATGCTAGTTTGTACTATGTTTGGCATGCATTGGGCTGATACTGGCACCGAGTATCTCATTTGTGTATAAAAGACATAAATGCCCTCATCATCCTCATCATCATCAAAAATAGCCTTATAAATCTTGTCCTCTTCATTGAATCTTTGATTGTAGTTCCTTAAATTTAGCACATGCATTTTTTTTTTTCCATATCATTTATAAATTCTAATTTCATGTGACAAAATTAGGTCATATATGAAGATCTTCCATCAAACTTATGTGCAATACGCGATTACATTGAGAAAAAGCAAACAGAAAACTCGATTAGATCCATTGTGATGCATACAAATGATCTTGTTTCAAATGAGCATCCATCAAAACGAAATGATAAAAATCCATCTAGACAAAGAAACCGAGTTGTTGGGTTGCATAAAGATATAGAAGTATTAAAATCCGAGCTTCTGAAATTTATTTCAGAACATGGACAAGAAGGGTTTATGCCAATGAGAAGTCAACTTAGGAAACATGGAAGGTTTGATATGGAAAAAGCTATTTCTCGAAGGGGTGGATTTAGAAAATTTGCTTCGTTGATGAATCTTTCACTTGCTTACAAGGATCCTAAACCAAAAGGGTATTGGGATCAACTTGAGAATTTAAAAGAAGAGGTCAGTTTGTGTACAACATACTCCAAATACACTGCTATAATGCACTAAAAAGATAGGAGTACAATATACTTCAAATACACAGCTATAATGCACTAAAATCACTGAAAATCATTTTCTTGTATTTAAAATCATTGAAATTGTTTTTCTTCTCACAGATTAGTCGTTTCCAAAAGAGTTGGGGGATGGATCCAACATTTATGCCTAGTAGAAAATCATTTGAGCGTGGAGGTAAATGAACTTAATTTCCATCTATTTTCATAAATGAGGATGCCGAGGGCATTTACGTCTTTTTGCACAGACACGAAACCGATGTCAATGGGACAATAGTTGCGGATTTTGTCCTAACCAAATAGGTGGAAGAATGACGCACTCTCGAATCTCGATCTCTTATCTGTGCAAAAGACGTAAATGCCCTTGTCATACACTCATCACCAAAACTTGTTCCATACTAATGTGACTTGTGAGTGGGGACCATTGAAAAAGGTGGGATACAGATTGTCTTGTTTGTGTAAAAGACATAAATGCCCTCTTGATTGTGTGTTATTTATTAGGTCGGTATGACATAGCACGTGCATTGGAGAAATGGGGAGGCCTACATGAAGTATCGCGTCTTCTCTCACTTAAAGTGAGGCATCCTAACAGAATGAGAAGCATTGTGAATGATGGTGACAAGTCATCATCTAAACATGATGTTTCACAAGACACACAAAAATGGCTTGAGAGACTTAAAGATTTGGATATAAATTGGGTAGAATAATAATAAATGTTTGATAAATTGGTAAATAGTGTTGTCTCGACTTGTATATATATGTTTTTTTATTTAATCTGTACAAATAACTTAATGGGTTAAGCCAAAATAACTTGGCTTAATGTATCAAGACACCAACCATTACTTCTCTGCCCTTCTTATTTCGTCCACGCAACCCCTATCAAGTCATAATTGATAAGTATCATTAAATTTAATGAATTTTAGAAATGATTTGTTGTAACCGATAAATATCATTAAATTTAATGAATATATAGAAATTGCTTGTTGTAATATAAGGGCAAAATAATCATTTAATCTAAATATAGAAAAAAACTGTCTATCAAATATAGAAAAAAAGCTATCTATCAAACTTTACCCTTAAACAACTTAATCAAATAAACCACTCACTCTCAATCTCATGTGTGGAGAAGACATGATTTGTTAACAACTCTCATTATCTTCTTTGGTGGTATACAAATTAAAAGATTTATAATGTATTAAATTAATATAAAGTTTCATTCGTTTAAGGATAATATTCAATAAGACCATCAGTATGTTTAAAAGATTTCAAAGTGGCTATAAACACAAGATAATGTCTTAAGAAAGATTGAATAGTTTGGTCTATTATTCATGGAGAAAAATATATCGTACAACGTTGATATTGATAGTAGTATTAATGATTTTGTATCTAAAAGAACTCGTAAATATAATATTTTTTCTTAGATTGTTTTGCTCCTAGAGCATGTGTGATGACTTTTTTGCTTTACATAGATGGGGGAGTCCATTAGTTTCTTAATGTAATATCTTTTTTAATTAATAAAATTTTCAGACATGCATTTTTTTTATTGTTAGATTTATTATTATTTTTTTTAACCCTCAAATCTTAGCTAATCTTAGCTAATCTTAGCCAACTTGAAGGTCAGACACAAAAAAAAAACACTTAACAATAAAAAAATCAACATCCTTGAAATTTTTTATTAATTAGCAAAGATATTATAGTAAGAAGTTAATAGACTCCTCCATCTATGGAAAGCAAAAAACCATCATGCTCTAGGAGCCAAACAACCTAAGAAAAAAATATTATAAATATTGTACAATATATCTTTCTCCATGAATAATAGACCAAACTATTCAATCTTTCTTAAGACAATGATGATCTCAAATAGTTTTTTAATAACTTCAACTTTGAAAAACTTCTTTCTGCTATCATTTTGTAATAGTATTAGTTTTTTGGTATTTTGTTTTCTTTTTCTTTTTTCACTGCCAAATAAATGTTTTCTAGGCAATATTTTATTATTTTAAAATTATAAAACAATGTCAATGAGAAAAAATAAAGAAAATGAAAACACCTAGCTATGAAACTTGTAATATTGAATCGTTTAACAAGGATAAATATTTTTTGAATCGTTATTATGACTCCAACAACAAGGATTCCATAACTTGTAATGTTGAAGTTTCAAGTTGTATATAGAAAATCAACAAGAAAACACATAAACTAACTTTTTATCACAAAATCTTATAATTTACGGTTATAGTAGATCATTACTATTTGTAACAAAATCTTACAATTTACACGAATAAGTAATCAAAAATCAAAAATCAATGAGACTGTCTGAAAATCAAATTAATATGAATACAATAAAACAAATACATGATCAATCTTTTTGAAGAGTGCATGAAATCATATTATCAAAATCAATTTATTAACAAATATTGAAATAAAAAATCGTAAGACAACAATTTAATCGAAAATCAAAATGCCAAGTGAAAAATCAGAATCAAACTGTTATAAATCGGTTTTTGTTTCATTTGAAAAAAAATCAGAACCGATTCATAGAGTGATTCGATTGATGGTGGTAAGAGGCTCAATATGAGATTATCCTAGAAAAATCGCACCTTTTAGTCTGATTTTGTTTTGATTTAATTTTCTTTCCTTTTTCTGTTCAAACGTTATACGTGATATATCCGTTTTGCTTTATGCTAACATAATTACATATATAGAATGGGCCTGTAGAAATTTGGAAGCCCTAGGCCATCATCCAAACGCCCTCCTCATTGGTACGACCCTCCATAAACATTAAAGTAGATCATTACTATTTGTAAAAGATTTCAAATAGGCCATAAACTGTAAAACCATCAAAGAGGAGCAATATACTTTCAAATTTATCCACCTTCGGTCAAAATAGCCTTAATATATGTTTTTGAGGTCAAAACATACTTTTTTCTTCAATTAATAATGAAATACTTATTAATTAATTTATTTAACCAAACATATTAAGTTTTGACAAAAAAAAATTGAAATAAATATTTTTGTTAATTTGAAGGGTAATTTAGGAAAAAACCAGTTCTCCCAAACATATAAAATGACGATTCCTTCTACCACAAACGGCAACTACACACTCCACGACATTCTCCTGTGTTCGACGGCAACCACCTCCTCTTTGCCATTTCCCTCAAATTCTCAACGAAATTCAACCCGTATATAATCCATAGATTGTGTTATGATCGCAAATCGAGTTGTTGTTGGTTCATTATGTCGATCGCCACACGTTTTGCGTCGAGAATTTCCAGATCAGCTTCAGCGAACTGGAAATTGAGTATAGGGTTTTGTCAACGGAGGTTTATGAGGGTTTTGACGTGTGAGGAACAGGAATTGGTCAACCACAGTGACAGTGCCAAGAACCAGAGATTTGTGGCTGTTTGGGGAAATGGCGATTATGGGAGATTGGGTTTGGGTAGCTTGGAATCGAAATGGAGGCCTGCTGTTTGTTCGGCTTTTGGAGATGGAAGTCTCCGAGAGATTGCGTGTGGTGGAGCTCACACCCTGTTCTTAACAGGTATAGTTGCTCATGCTTAATTGCTGCTTCTATGAACGTTGTGCTTAGTATATGATCAATACAACATACAGTGGAATTTTTGAGACGTTTGACCCAAAAGTACCAAAAGTTTGCAAAACGCTTCCTTACAGATAGGGTACTGAAGGATTTACTCATGTATATCCATTGCCAAAGTTTTTTCACATCAGTAATTTAGTGCAAGATCAGGGTGACCTCTGATTGTGATCTCAAAGTATCTTATTAGTATGACAATTTACAAGCTTATTTTTTGCTTTTGGCTTTAAAAACATGGATTTGATACTGCATTAAGTCATTATAGGGCTAAAGTCATGAAAAATCAATGCAATTTCATTTATTTGTGTATTGTAGCATCTTACTTATTCCATTTATGTCTCTTACATCATTCTACTTATAATTTTACTTTTTCAAGGCATTGTAATTGAAAATTTTACCCAATTGTAGCAATGGAAATTGCTTTGTATTTGAATGAAGTTCCTATAATTGGGTAGATTTTTTGAAGTATAATTCTGTAACATGAAGAAATGAAAATATGATACTATAATAAACAAATCAATGAAACTACATTGCTATTTCTTGCATTTAACTGTATATATATATTCCCTTCATTGAGTTATAAACCTGCTGAATGAGTCCATTTTCCACAGATACTGGTAATGTATATGCTTCTGGACTCAATGACCATGGACAACTGGGTGTGTCAGATGATAAAGGCTACACAATTGTAAGATATCTCATACTTCTTGCAATTTCCCACTCGAATTTCAAGTAAAAAGACTAAGAAAAAAGTTCTATCTTGAGAGTATGCATGATGCAAGAAGCTTTTTATGCAAATGATAATGCAGAAACTGATTTCTTTTTCCTTTTTCCTCAAACTGATATATCTTTGTAGTCTGTGTTATGTGGATAAAATTTCATAAATAACTTTTATTCCCTATCAAGGGCTTATCTTTTAAGTGTTCCCATGCACCTTTCTCATCATTCTCTTTATGTGACATTGATTGTCTTGTGATTGCAGGATCCACTAGAAGTTTCTGGACTTCCCAACAATATTGTGAAAATTTCAGCTGGATATTATCACTCTTCAGCTATTACAGGTTTTTAACATCAAATTCAGTATATAAATATGAAACTTCAAAGGGCCCTCATGTTATGTTGTGTTCTTTAAAGATTCTATCTTTATGCACTCCTTTTTTCTCTCTATTGCTTAATCATGCTTCTGAATTGCAGAAAGTGGAGAACTTTATATGTGGGGCAAGAATTCCAGTGGTCAACTTGGACTTGGAAAGAGTAAGATGCTTTCTTTCAGTATCTGTAGCTCTTTCATTAATTTTCTTTGCTAAAAATTACCACATGTATCAAAATTCTGATAGAGAAGAATTAAGAAGAATCTTTGTTAATCCTCTTTTACACAGATGCTTACTCTTTTATGAAATTTAGTCATTTTCTTTCATTCTTTAGGCTGAATTCAAATATTTAACTTTGTAGAGGCAGGAAAGCTGATTCCATTCCCAAGTAAAGTGGAATTCCTGAATGGAGTCCCCATAAAGATGGCTGCTTTGGGTTCTGATCACTCTATTGCTGTTACAGGTTACAAAAAATATATACATAAATAAATTTGTCCCCTTTTTTTAATATGATCTTTTGTATATTTTTTTATTCTGATATTTGTTAACATGTGTTTCAGAAACAGGTGATGTGTTAAGTTGGGGAGGTGGAGAATCCGGAAGGCTTGGTCATGGACACAAATCGAGCCTCTTGGGCTTTTTGAGTTCTACAAGGTTTGTTTTAAAAATTGACATTAAGTGTAAAATGACTATTTTGCCCCTTGTTTGACTTTGTCCCTCTTCATATTCTTCAGTGAATATACACCAAGGCTCATTAAGGAACTTGAAGGAGTCAAGGTAATGCTTATAACATTTTTCATTCACTTTTTAAAAAAAAAAGGTGTTGTTCTCAGAGTATAAAAGATTAGGATTCTTTTTATTGTTTTAAAGTTTGATACATTGATCTAAAGTAATTTTGTCAAAACATCTCAAAAGATTACCTTAAGATAAATTAATAAAAAATATAGTTTCATGTGTAAAGTTTCAGTAGATATTTTTATACAACATCTTTTGAATCACACCCATTTAATCACAAAAATAAATTTTTAGTAAGAGACAAAATGTTCTTGGAAAAATGTGGAATTGTAATTAAGTTTATACTAAGTATTCCTTCTGTTTTCTTTGAGAAACATTTACCTTATTTCTTCTAGGGTTAATCTCAAAAAAGACCTTATATTTTGTGTTTTTTCCGGATTAAACCTCAAATTTATTTTTTTTCCTGAAAAAGACCTTATATTTTTTCATTTTTCCGATCTGGCCTTTTTAATCATTTTTTACCAAAAACAAATTGTAAAATGTGAGGGTTTTTTCGAGAAAAACTAAAAGAGCTGAGGGTTTATTTGGAAGCATTTAGAAGGTTGAGGGTTTTTTTTCGGAAAAAAAAATACAAAGTTGAGGGCTTTTTCGGAAAAAATGAAAAAAATACAAGGTCTTTTTCAAGCAAAAAATAAATTTGAGGTTTAATCTGAAAAAAACAAAAAATATAAGGTCTTTTTTGAGATTAACCCTTTATTCTAAAGCAAAAAGCACAAGGAGAAAAGGGTCATTTAAATTTGCATAAAATGCAGATTAAAAGTGTTGCTGCTGGGATGCTACATTCAGCATGCATTGATGGTATACCTTTTTATTTATTTATTTATTTTTTTAATGTGTTACTTTAATCTATTTAAAGTCAATGTTACAATTTTCATGTTACAACTTATAACCTTCAGTTTTTTAAATCCCAGAAAACGGTTCCGTATTTGTTTTTGGGGAAAAAGCAGTACAAAAATTGGTGAGTCCTTGTTCCACTTTTTTCGAGGGCATTTACGTCTTTTTCACATACTAAAATCACAAACTATGAAACTTTATGTAGGTGTCAAGAGAAGGAAGCACTGTTTCAACTCCTTCTCAAATAAAGGAATTACCATTTTCTCAAGAGGTTGCATGTGGTGCTCATCACACATGTGTCATCACAAGTAATTAAAAAGACTATTTTGTCCTTGATTTTTTAATTTATTAAAATGAACACACCCCCAACCCCACCCCACCTCCTCACCTTATCTTACCTATCCCACCATTTTTCCCTATTTAAATAATAGTCTTTTTAGGTAAGATAGGGACCAAACGCGTAACAAAAACAAACAGTAGGGACCTTCTGAGTTAAAAAAATAAGTTAGGGACCAAACACGCAAATTACCCCAAACCATAGGGACCATTCGTGTAATTTACTTATTTTCAATCCTTATTTCTTTCTAATTTCTAACCTTGAATGTGTTTCATGACCTTTTTATCTACAAAGGTGGAGGAGAACTGTATACATGGGGCTCGAATGACAATGGTTGTTTGGGTACTGGGTATGCATGTCTTCAATACTTTATCCAAGATGTTTATTTACTAATATGCCCTCATGTAATAATAATTATTACATTTTCTTGTCTCAGTGATACACATACTGTTCATGTGCCCGAAAGAGTTCAAGGTCCATTCTTGAAACATTCTGTTTCCAAGGTGAGTTTCCTTCTTCAACTATGATGTGTGAAAAAGACGTAAATACCCTTAACACGTTTTGATTGGTAGGTGTCATGTGGATGGAAGCATACAGCAGCTATTTCTGGTAAATACTTTTATGTTAAGTTATTTTAAAAGTAGTTTTATGAGTAAATTACACGAATGGTCCCTATGGTTTGGGGTAATTTGCGCATTTGGTCCCTAACTTATTTTTTTTTTAACTCGGAAGGTCCTTACTGTTTGTTTTTGTTGCGCATTTGGTCCCTGTCTTACCTAAAAAGACTATTTTGCCCTTGATTTTTTAACTTATTTAAAATAAACACACCCTAACCCCACCCCCACCTCACGTTATCTTACCTAAAAAGACTATTTAATTTATTTAAATAAGGGCATAATAGTCCTTTAAGGTAAGACAGGGACCAAGCGCGTAACAAAAACAAACATTAGGGACCTTCCGAGTTAAAAAAATAAGTTAGGGACCAAACGTGCAAATTACCCCAAATCATAGGGACCATTTGTGTAATTTACTCTAGTTTTATTTATTTTGTTTATAATTTATAACATCCAAATTTCATTTCTTCCTACTATGATATTGTAATTTGAAAAACCTACCTAATTATAGCTATGAATTGGTGGATTTTTTGAAAAGAAAAAGATTGAAAGTAAATTATAGAGTAAATTACACGAATGGTCGCTATGGTTTGGGGTAATTTGCGCGCTTGGTCCCTAACTTATTTTTTTAACTCGGAAAGTCTCTACTGTTTGTTTTGGTTACACGTTTGGTCCCTACATTTTGTTTTTGTTACGCGATTGGTCCCTATCTTACCTAAAAAAACTATTATTTAAATAGGAAAAAATGGTAGGATAGGTAAGGTAAGGTAAGGTGATGGGGGTTGGGGTTGGGGTGTGTTTATTTAAATATTTTAAAAAATCAAGGGCAAAATAGTTTTTTTAGGTAAGACAGGACCAAGCGTGTAACAAAAACAGACAGTAAGGACCTTCCGAGTTAAAAAAATAAGTTAGGGACCAAACGCGCAAATTACCCTAAACTATAGGGACCATTCGTGTAATTTACTCTAAATTATATAATCTTACTGCTAATTTTGGTGTAATGCAGATGGAAATGTTTATACTTGGGGTTGGGGTGGGGCCATGGGGACATTTTTTGAAGCCGAGCATTCTTCTGGTGGACAGTTGGTTTGTTCCCATTTAAATATCTATATTATCAGTATCTTTTTGACTTGATGCACAAAGAACGACTTAATACAGAAAGTCAAGAAAAATGAAGCTTTCCAAATTAAATCCTAACTTTTTTTACAATAATTATAACTTTCACTCAAAACTTGTGTGTGTAGGGCCTAGGAGATGATGTAGACTACGTTGAACCAACGTTTGTTGACTTTGGTGAGAATGTGAAAGCAGTACAGATCTCATGTGGGTTCAACCACACGGGAGCTGTACTCGAATACAACTAATGCTCCAGTCATCCGATACTCATATCAGATGATAGTATCGGATGACTGATTGATTCGAGCAGTTAGTCATCTGATACTGATATATCGGATGACTAGATCAGTCATTCGAATCAGAATCGAATGCATTGGTGCAAATCAAGATCAGTCATTCGAATCAGAATCGAATGCATTGGTGCAAATCAAGAGTAAATAACCATCATACAAAATAAGGCTATACGTACATTTATGATTCTCAAGCGTATAGTGTTGTATATGAGGTTCTTGTTTATTCTAAAAACAAACGTGTTATGATTTTGTAATTGTATATTGATGTTTAATCTAAAAATAACCTCATTTGTATGTATTTTATGCTCTATGTCTTTGCATCAAAAACAATTCATGGCTTTAAGGTGGGCATCATATTTGCAAAAATTATTAGTTAATTTGTTTATATTGATTACCATGATATGAGGTTTCATCACATGATATCAATCTATTCTCGTTATAATGCTTTAATCTTGAAGGAGAGATTGTGGGACTGATTGGTGTTGTTCAAGGAAAAGAGGAAATTGACCCTTGTAGACTAAGGTAGATATATTTCAGATTACAATAAGACTAATATACATGTGAATAAGCGTGCATATGATAGTGCAAGTAGCACATAAATCAAGTGAAAACACTTGATTTGATAGAGATATGTGCGGAAAAAAAATACACTCCTGTACTAATGTCACATATGAAGATATTCTGATCCTATATATCTTCTTCATTAACAGACTTTCCTATGAGATCAAATTCATAAAATGAAAGCATGGTTCAAAGATATACCAATGTTGGAACCCATCGAACAAGTATGTGCGGAATAATAATAAACATGAAGTTAACCGGCATAAAAATGATTAACAAAGATATGAGCAATCAGATAATCAAGAGATAGAAAGAGTAAAATAGCATACTAAAGAATTCTTTGCATGATAGAGATTCCCAATCACTCTCTCTATCTAGGCAAGACTATATTTTTGGTGCACACTAAATAAATGACCACTTCGGCTCTATTTATAAGAGAGAAATGAATCTTTCCTAAACACAAAGAGAATATTTTAACCTCGTTATAATTGAGCATTGTAAAGCATCTCATTCTCCCACAATGATAAAAGGCTAAAATACATAGTATCCGAATAGGTGTGATGTTACATGTTGAGATGTCTTTAGAACTCTGATGCTGTGGTCTCTGATGATGCTGGGCCATGAAATCTCTAATCATCGAAGGTGTTTGACTTCAAAGGTACCAACTCTCACGTAGAAAATGAGATCCAAATATTCAAACTAACCATAAACACCAATTTATGAAGTTGAAGATCCAATCAGAAAACACTTCGACTTTAAAAGTCTAAAATATCTCTTATTCTCGAATCATAATACATTGAAAATTCTTCAAGAAGATAACCTGCTGTTAAAAATATGAGACATCCAAAAGTAGATTCTTAATAATAAATAATTTGGATTCTTGACACATCTAGCGAGACAAGAAATTTGACTAGTGTACTTCAATAATATTCTATGTTAGGCATGTCTATATTAGATAAAACCAATATGTATGACTATACCTTTTACTATATTTTTTTTATTATCCTTAAACTCATGCCTAAAGAGATGATTTGACTTATTACATTTTGTTTGCCTATGAAAGACACGTTGTAATCTAGTTGTAAGACACACCTTTTCTTAATAAGCAATATCCCTTATCTTCCATCATACAATATTATGCTTATTATTTTCATACTTTGTGTTCACGTATCCCACTAGGAATACGTTAAAGATAACATAACTACTATCTTTTGGACGACCTAATGGTCGCGATCCATCCTAATGCCAAGCCTGCTCCCTTGCCCTCGCGCTAGGACCTTGATGTTTGGCGCCCTCACGCCTAGGTCCAAATTCCCGACGACAATTTTCGGTCCATAACAAGCCAAAACACATTTGGTCGTTTCCTAGAGTGACAAGTGTAGTGCCCAGAGCACTGTCCTCTATGTATTCTGCACCAATAGCAGACGACTACTAGTGGTGCACGATCCACCAATAGAACTCCTCTACGTCCCGTTGGCCCAGATGGGACATATGACATTTTTGGGATCATGTGCAGAGAACAATAGGTATAGAAGGAACCCGTCTTCTCTAGAAGAGGGGATCACCTCCTTACTCTCCAAAACCCTAATCACCTTATTCTCATACACATAGTAATTAAACCGTCGGAGCTTCGTCTCGGGACCCCTTCCCGGACGTCGACTGACGTTATCTTCATTGTTGTAACTACAGGACATTACCTAGCCAGAATCATCAAGTGACGGTGTTAAGTCCCAAACACATATCACAACATTTTGCGTCATCTAGGCGTGTACTTAAATTTACACAACACTGATACGACTCTAGAAGTCGGTAATGACGGGAAAAGGACCTTTGGCGCCAGATGGAGGAGAAACAAGCCAACATAGATCCATGTCGTCGCTCGATGGCATGCAAGCATCAACATAAGAGGGATATGCCTCCACCCAAACGCCAGCAGCACAAGCACTCCCACAACACCAAACCGCATCGACAACAATAACCGTCCTATGGCGACCGCCACCCGTCACAACAAAGCATCTAGTTACAACTACGACCGTAGCGCCAAAATTAACAGTGACCAAGTAGTCAGAGCCACTAGCTCAGCAGTTATAGCCATCGGTTCAGTAGTCGCAACCATTAATTTCTCAACCGCAATCGTTGTTACAACAGGCAGGGGCGAAGACTTGGTCCCAGTAACCATACTGTCTTTGCAACATCCAATATCGAACTATTAGTTCTCCCCTATAGTAGGCATGTTGCACATTTCGCTCTTCGCTCAACAACATCCGATGTTCCATCCCCACTTCCAACAATTACAAGGATCTATTCCCTAAGCGCCACTGTCGCAAGAGTCCAACTCCCATTCGTCATCGACACAACCGTTCAATCCCCATGCTCAACAGTCGCAGGGGTTGAACCTGTATATGCTCCAGCAGTCGGGATTGAGTTCACAACTACAAGAAAACGCACAAACAATCTCACAATAGCAGTCGCACATCTCGCAAGCAGTGATGTACAATCAATCGTATGGCAACCAATATTACGCTCAACAACTCACGATGTACGTTGGGTTTCCATATCCACACATGGAAAACCCGACGAGGAGTACCAATTTTGCTTTTTGACAGAAGATCTTGTAGTATGAGATCACACACTCGACGAGGATACCAAACATTCCAAAATATGATGTTACCATCGATCCAGACGCGTATATCGACACCTACGAGTGTATGATGACGTCGCTGAGGATGGATAAGCGGTTTACTTGCACGTATTTCCCTGTTATGCTGTTGGGAAATGCAGGAAAATGGTTCAAGGCCCTATGACCTGGAAGCATCTCGAGCTTTGAGCAATTACGATACCTCCTCCTCAATAACTTCATGCAACTATGGAAAGGAAAGGAAGATGTGAACTCAATAATGACATGAAAGAAAAAGGAGGGAGAGTCGATAAGGGCGTATTATGAATAATTCACGTTCGCAACGCTAAACATCCCAGGCCATAAGGAACTCCTTGTCACTGGTGCCTTCGCCCAAGGTTTACTCCCAGGACCTCTATCGAAGAAGATGCAAGGGATGCTACCTCAATTTAGGGACGAGCTTAGATACAGAGTTGAGAAATATCTTAGACAAATCGAAGGTGAAGAGAGAAAAAAAGCCAACCTAAAGGCTGTTGACAACACGTTCATTAAACACGAAGAAGCAATCTCTCGCCCCAACACTGACCCATCGAAAGAATCAGTGCGGGGGCTATGACAAGCACAACCGACACTCACAAAATTTATCCCGAAGACACCATCCATTTGGAAAAGACGAACACCAGAACCACCGAACCGATGTCCATGCCATAAAGAAAACTCCTTCGAAGATAGAAAATTAAAAAGGCAAGTACTGTGAGTTTCACAAAAGCAAAACTCATAATACTGAAGAGTGTACAATGCTGAAGAAAGAAATTGAAGAAAAACAACTAAAGGGCGACATCTCGAACATTGCAAAGGAACTAAGATCCAAGTTCGACGTCGATCAGAAGAACGTCTGAGCTCAAAAATTGTTAGGTCAAAAGTTGTTGTGAGAGTCGAAATGTAGTGCCTTTATGTTCGCGTCTGTAATAGCAAAAGTTTAAGGACTTCCGTTATCTTAATGTATTTACAAGGCATATTATAGTTTCTAATGTAATGTCTAGTCCTTGTATTTTATGGTTTGTGAGTACCCTATAAATAGGTAAGCACTTAGAGGTTAGAGTAAGAACTTCCGTATATACTCTATTGTACTCAAAATCTCTCTCTCTCTCTATATATATATATATATATATATATATATATATATATATATATATATATATATATATATATATATATATATATATCATTCCGAATAATCAATTGAATTGAAAAATATATATTATTTAGATCTTTGTGTTCTTACTTGCTTTCATTAAATCGATTGGTTCAAACACAATTGTTTAACTCTTCAATTAGTATCAGAGCAGGAATCACTACTATGATTGAATAATTTGGTCATGTTTTTCATCTTTTTGAGTCGTTCATTTTGATTCATTTTTTTTGTAAGATTGAAAGCATAATTATTCATTGAATCAAGTGTGATTAATTAATTCTGCTATTGGTTTTGTCAATCGATATGATAATCATTTCATTTCTCTTCATGAAATTATTCTTTTCATTGAACCGAATGGAAAATCTCAACATAAACACAATGATGAAGTTCACGAATCTTCTTGAATCTGTAACCAAGATCCTGATGTTGATCCCAGAGTACTACAATCAGTGGGTTGATCGAATGGAGCATTACCTTAACGGTATCAATGAGGATCTATGGAGATCAATCGAGATTAGACCTTATCAAGCAAATATGATTGCGCAAGGAAATAAGAAGAAAGTTAATGATAAGAACTGTCTCCGTGAACTACAAGGAGCTCTTCCTCCTATTGACTACAACTATGTCTGTGGATGCAAAACTTCTAAGGAATTATGGGATACTTTGAAAGAACAGTATAAAGAAAATGAGAGGACAAAGAAAATCTCGGTGACGAAGTGTTTGTCTGAACTTGCAGATTTCAAGCAAAAGGAAAACGAAAATATCGAGGCATATTACAACAGGATGAATGATTTGATCTTCAAGTGCAATCGATATGGAGTGATTCTTACAACTTTGGAATTCAATCTCACTTTTTGTGTACAGACTCAGAAAAG